AAGGAAAATCCTTCTTGGCTAGTTTCTTGTATTCCATTTTAGAGCTACACAAAAGCAATGTTACAATACTGTTATTGACATGTGTTAATAGAGATCATTTGTGGATATTAAGTAAAGACTGGACTCTCGCATTCTTTTTCAACCAATGAGGTAAAAATTCTTTTTTTTTTTCCACATACAAAAAGCAAGACCAGAAGGATCTGACAATAGAGGGCTAACTAATTATATGGTTTCGTTGAGTAACTTTGGCAGGATATGTGGAGCCTAGATGTTACTAGTGGATATCTATATAGTGCAAAATGATTTTGATGTAAAGCACATGACTAGAGCTGCAGCTTCCCCATTCAGGGGTGCTCAAATCAGACATTCCTTGAGTATGTAAGCATTTTCAAAGGCACTCTGTTGAAAGTTTCACAGTAAACGAAAAAGATTTCTCCTATATCGGCACACACTTTAGAGTCAAATGAATGTCCAAATTAGTCAATACTGAAGTTCTTTCAGGAATTACAATAAGAATTCCTTTTGAACACTACAGGTCTTGGCAAAGCACTGTAATTTAAGGTGTTATGCAGTTTGTTAAATTCCTTCTCCTCCAATACCTATTTAACAAAATACCTTTCCTTCCGCAAAAGCTTAATAAATGCAAACCATAATATGACAAACACTCCACACTCCAATTTCGATGTTCCTGTTTTGTCATTTTGCTTCTTACATAATCATTTTGTTTTCTAAAAAGCTATAAAACTTTTGATAAAGTTGAATTTTTTCCCCTCTTCCCCAGTCTATTCCTATAAATTTTTCATTGGACATGACTGGAATTCACAATCTATTTATAGTGTTATGCAATGCATTTGAATATATTTGTACAAACATTATAGTTTGTGCCTTACTTTTTAGTTCAACTTTGCTTTGATATTTATTGCTGTTTACAAATGGAGATATATCACTTTTTTTTTAAGTCATGGGGTAGTTTCTATGTTATATAAATATATCGCAATATGCTTTCTGTGCATTTTTAAAAATTTTCTATATGAATGCCAAAATTTGAGTGATATTTAAGTAGTGGCCACTTTCTTATAAAAATTAAATCCAATAAATTACGAAACAACCAAGCACAAACACATAGTCCATTTCTATTATCTGGCAAGTTAAGTGAATATTTAAATTGTATCAATAAATTCAATAAAGGGATACACATGCCTGTAAATAATTAAAAATAATAAAACTGAATCCTTTAAAAACACATCTGATTTCTAGGCTTTGAAGAATAAAAGGAGACAGGGACTTTTCTGTTGAGTGTTTACAATGTTCCAAACCCCATCTTTAATTTTTGCACCTGGCCTGTCAATTATAGTTTATACCATACTTATGGACTGCAAAGGATAATCACTGCATGATTTCTCTACACCTTGCACTCCATAAAGGCCTCATGGCAACTCGGAGATGGGCACATTGTCACCATGGCTTTGCAGATGAAGAAGCTGCAGATGAGAAAGGGATACTGTGTCCAACAGCAAGCGTGTCTGAAACAAGGATCTTGATGGAATGGTCCAGAATCTCCTCTTTTCAGCTCTGGGCAGAACTGCTGTCGGTTAAGGAGGTTAGGGGGCTTGCGGCAAGGTTCATCAGTATTTTGACTTCTTATTCTTATGGCTCTAATTTTATCACAATTAATGATGCATCTTTGGTAAAAAGTCACAAAATAAAACTTTCTAGGTGAGAACACCTAGAAATCTAGGTACAATAAAGTATAGTCAGATGGTTGCCCAGGGGACCAATGCCATGGCTGCTAAGGAGGCTCACAGGTGGGAGGTGCTCATGATCAGGTACACGTTTACAGTTTTTCACGTACATCTGATCTGTGGACAATTTTACAGAAACAACCAAGTATAAGCTCACTCTTACTTTAATCTTACTTGAATTAATTTACATAATATGTGTTTAGGTAGGATTATCTAAAAAGGAAGGCGAGGACTTTCTTGCTTTGTGATTTTTTTTTCCTCTAATGTGTTATCCTTATTAAGATCTATGGCTTTTCTTTTATAGGAAAATGTGAGAAAAGATGTTTTGTGTGTGTGCACAAAATGGAAGGGAAGAGTTAGAAAGTGTTTTAGGAAAGCTTATTGGGTTTTGAAAGGATTCCTACCTTTCAGTTGTTATAAAACACAGATGATGGGTGTTAGATTAAAACACAATATTGAAGGGATTTCATCTGGCACCATACACATTGGAACACATCATTCCCAGTCATGGAAGGCGGCCTGTGCACAGGCAGAGGTGTTCCTGGCATTCCACAGAACGCCAGGAAGCCACACCTCCACTTCCCATATGGTTGACAAAATACCATTATTGGAAGCTTCTTGTGGAGCGGGACATGCAATACTGTGATGCCTAAAAGCTAGGGAGGTCATTAGTGTGTGGATTTGAAAAAGGAAGATTTTGTTCTCTTTGTGCATTCATGCACTAGTCTCCAGCTACACCTGACCGATACTCATTTCGTGCATCTCTCTAATTTGCCCCTCCGCCCAGAATGTGTGACAATTCCCACTTCAGTCCTTTCTGTTGCCTCCCAGGTATGTATTTATGGGCAACGTATTGCCGGCAGGGTAGATCTCTTTCTCTCTCTCTCTTTCATTTGTTAATTCCATGAAATGACAGTATCCTGTCTCTAATTTGGATTTGACACTATGCTTGGTTATGTCTGACACTTCCATCCTAGTTATCCATCCATCCATCCATCCATCCATCCATCCATCCATCCATCATCTCATAGGATCTGTTAGCATCTCCTCATTATTAAGTCCCCCCAATCAGGCCTGTATTACCTCACTAAACCTCACTTGGATCTTTGTAATATAGGAACTCGACATCAGAGCCATCATTAATGGCCTCCCCTACCTACATATACACATAGCTAAAGTCCCTCTGACTATACTTGATATTGTCCATGATCTCTTCAATCACAATCTTCTTATTTCCTCCTTGCCACTATTGTCTTACAGAAACCTTCCTTCACACAGACTTCAGACAACTGTTTTCAAACATCTGCTTACTTTGTTACATACTCGCTTTTATTTAAGGAGTTTCCCTTTGGCTTTTCCTCTGCTTACTGAAGCTGTACTTACACCTACTAATCTCACTGTTAATTCAGCTGCTACTTCCTGTCTACATGTACTTTCTTTTTTGAACACTTATGGCAATTACAGAATTGATAAATCTACACCACAGAGTCTGTGCAAGGTGACAGAAGAAACAGGGAGTTGATAATAGCCTCTTAATATGTATCCCTTGATGTTGAAATACAACCTGATTTGTCTGTTTGGTATTTCTTGCACGAATGTGTTTTCAGGTCTAATCATTTATAATTGAATAGCCAATGGAGAGGCTTTTCTCTAAGCCTCTTAGTTCTATGTAGTTCTTTATCTATGGGTGGGGCCCTCTGAGGTTTGCTCCTTCCATGTTAGCGTGTCTAATAGTGTTGTAGTTCTTCATATCTTGTGTAGGCAGCCATATTGCTGAGGTACCATGGGAGAAGATTCCCTGTAGTTTCTAGGAGACAAGTAAGCCTCAGGAACAGACAAACATCTTAATTACACAGATCTCAGAACATAACCCTGAGGTTAAGTAATGTATAGCTTGTAGATCTATATATTACATGTATATATGCACATATATGCAAGTATATGTCCATATGATATATATCATACATACATACATACATAGTGTGTATATTATACATATATAGAATTATTCATGCTGCTATATTACTCTGTGTATATAGAATTGTATGTGTTGCATAAATACATTCATTTTTATGGATTGAATGAAAAGCCAGAGCAGTCTTAGAAAAATAATGCTAATAGGAACACTAAGGAAATAGTATTAAACATAAACATGCTTTCATTTAAGCAGATAGGCATACATGAACACTGAAATAAATGCTACTCTTCAGAGAGCAGTATAGCTTATTACATTCTATTCATCTTTTTTTTTTTTTTTTTTTTTTTTTACAGTTTTCTTAGGGCTTCTGCTGTGAAGAGACTGATAAAGAAGAGGCACTGGCTTTCACTATTTCTAATCTACAAAAATGACTGTTGTTTCTAAATTTAGCTCATTATAATTATCTGGTTTTTCCCAAGGCACTAGCAAGGCTAATAAGGGGGTCTGATGACTAATCTCACAGGAAGAGTAACTGATGACTAAAGTATTCCTAATGTTACATATGTGTGCATGTGTCTTTAACAGACAGGGCAAATTAAGCTGGTATCTGTTCCCTGCTTGCAGTTTTACTCTATTCTCTAAGTTGGTGTATACAAATTCTCCAGGGTTGAAGCATTTGTCACGATCTGTGAGCAAAAGCAAGGAAAGTAAAGGGCCTCAGATTAAGAGTGGTCTATCAGTTGTGGGAGCACAAACCCACTGTCCTAACACCTAAAGTCAGCCTCAAGAAGCTAGACAACTGAATTGATCTTCTAGACTCCAAATAACTCTAGCTTGCTGATTTGCCTGGCCCAGGCTTTCACTGGAAAACCATAAGCAAAGCTTGAAGCCACCTATTTACCTAGTATAAAATGACTGTTTTCATTTCTTCAATATTTGTTTCTTAAAAACACAGTGTCTTTTACGCATTAGACTGAGTAGACAAACATGATTGGCCCTAACAGCTGTTCCAGGTTTAGTGAAAATGGACACTGTCCCCTGAGTGCCAGGCAGTCAAGTAACCCACTCTCAAGTATAACTAATTGAAGACACTCCAGGGCACATATGTGGCAAGGTGGTAATAGCTATGGCCCAAGGTCAAACTTGTACTCTGAGTCAAGCTGTCAGTGTTTTGCATACAGGAGTCATCACCCTCACCCACCAAAGGGAGAGTACTGTCCAGAGGCAAGCAACTGACTCACCTTGCATTTGTAGTGTGAATTCTGAGCTTCAGTCTTGCATTTCTTCCTGCTTTTGCCTGGGTCACCATTGTAGCTGCTGGGGAAACATGCACTAACAGATGGCAATCCTTACTCCCCAAATCTCACACTCTACAGAGCCAGGTGACAGCTACAAGAAATACATAGTATAATCTGAAAGTAGTAAGTATATGCGGGAATTAAAAACAAAAAAAGTCAACAAATGAGCGCTGAGAATGATAAAGATGGTGGGTAAGATTCATTATTTTTGCAGATTAGATTCTGAAAACTGGGAAGTAGACTGAAAGGATGAGGCATTTGAAGGAGGAACATTTGAAGTAAGAGGTGGAATTATTTACTGAATAGCAGAGGGAACACATTGAGGAGTCTGTCATATCTAGAGTACACCAGGCAAATACGCATTGTTGCTTTTTGTTTTTTTCCCTGGCTTTTGCCTATGGCCAAGTTCAGCTGGGACCTACCAGCTTGGAGGGAACAGACAACAGTACCTAAGGTCCTCAATGATGCTGAGGCTCAAAGCATTTTCCTGTTGTGTTGAAAGAGGAAGATTACTGTCTCTCCTGACTACTTAGATGCATTGAGAAGATCAAGGGGAAAATGGCTATGAAGGTGCTTTGAAAACCATGAAAGCTCTTCAACACTGGCAAGGCATTATTACTGCAGAACTATGGTATAGAGAACCGAGAGGCTTTTTCCTGTTTCCAAAGACTGTCAAGTAGATTATAAAGATGAGAAAATGAGGGAGGAAAAAGGATGGAGTCTACAATCACACATGATATTGATCAAGCTATTAGCTAAGAACAACTAGGTAAACTGACACCTTTTGTTCCCTGCCTTGACATCATTGCAGTTGCGTGAATGGCTTTGTTCTCTGAGAGTATTTTGCTCTATAGCATGAGATGACAATGCACTTGATCAATTACTGATATAAGATGAAAGTATTGATTTTACTCAAATAAATAAATGTGTAAATTTAAAAGTACGTTAATTTCTCTAGACTGGCAAATTACTTGAAAAAATATCAGAAACTGCCAAGCTAAAAAAGAGAAGTGCTGATGGGAGAAGTAATTTTTAGTAGGTTTAAATTTTGTTTTATTTTGGCAAGCATGTTCAGAGGCTGAGAAGACAAGTGTATTACAAGATTTTAGTTTTGGCCTTTTGTTATTGACTTGTAGTTGAAAACATTTCATAAGAATAAATATTAAACATTAAGTCTACTTAAGAGGTAAATTAATAATGAGTTTCACTATACTAACTAGCAAGTCTCAAACTTACAGACTCAAATGAGCCTGTTGGGGCTACAGGTGTGTGCCAACAAACTGAGGGTTCAGGTATAAGAAGTAAGACTGAAAATCTTATAATTTAGTTATAGCTTTTATAAAAACATAAAATCTTATTTCACAGATTCAACCTCTGAGTTTCCTGTAGATCAAATTCAAACACTCCCTCTTGCTCACTTTGACCCAAAATAGAAGGTGGGAGCTTGAAATTAATTTTTTTATTTAAAATCTTCAATTATTAGTGACTATTTTTAAAAAGGAGAACTGATTTTCTAAAAACACTATGGAAACCAGGTATAGTTTTCATCTCAGTAGAATTCAGTGATCCTGGATAAAACAAGAATTTTGAAAGATAACAATAAAATGACAACTATTAATAAAAATATTTTGGAGATATTAAAACAGAATTAACACATATACACTGAAATGCTTTCATCTTTGATTATTATGTTCTGTGGTACTGTATTGGTGCACTGGATAAAAAACGCCAAAATGATTGATTTGAAGCTTGCCAAACTTCACTGTGTGAAATGCGTGCTCACGTGCCGCTCTCATGATCCACCCACTCGTGTTGGTCTATGCAGTCAATAAAGCACTGTTCTCATTCGGGTGTTCACTATTTCTAGGTCCCTGAGCCGGCATGTAGTTCAGAGTATAAAGTATAAAGTGTACCCTCAAGTGTGTCACAGAAGCCAGACTTAGAGAAGTGTGGCCCATCTGGTAGAAACGATCTGGGACGAGGGCTGCAGTAAGCCCAGCACCTGCCAACATGTGGGGTTCCCTCTGGCCAGCTGGTGCTGGCTCCTAGGTTATACTGCCAAGTGTTTATGTCCACCAATGCCAAAAAAAAAAAAAAAAAAGAAAGAAAGAAAAGAAAAAAGAATAAGCATGGTAAGAAGGGAAAATATCACTGGGTGGAAATTTTTAGAATTGTGAAAATTCTATATGTAAGAAATCTGGACTTTTTTTTTTTTACAGGGTTATGGCTCCATTTTTATTGTTATCATATGGGGACACCACAGCTTATTTAACCATTCACTTTCTAATTGAGGTTACATGCAAGTTTAGATAATCAAAAGCACACCTTCTATGATCATGCATGCGAGAGTTTTTGTATAAATGACTTACCTTTTTAAAGGTACATATTGAATTAATTCTGGAAAATTTAGGTTTTGTTTATTTTAAATATATATTAAATAGACAACAGTCAGCAACAGCAATTTGATACATAATCCACATAATGTATTAAGAAGATTGGATACATATCTTCCACAAAGTTTTTAAATAGAACACTCGCACTATCCATTTAGTATACACTTCATGTGAGATTAAAATGATGTTTCTGCTCAGGTGTTATGTAGCACACAAGTTACTAAAGCATGCAAAGGGCTGAGACAGGACGAGCCTGAGTTCAGCTGAGAAACAACAACCTCAAGTTCAAGGCAGGCCTGGGTCACAGAGCCTTATAACAACAAGAATACAAGGTATATTTTTCTTCCTTTCATTTTAATATGAACATACCTACTATCAATTTAGTACATGGAAATATATTCATGCTAAGGCTAATAATTATACATTGTGACAGTTATATAGGTACCCACATATATGTCCTCATAACTGGAGCCTGTGTGGATATGTTGTTTTACATGGCAATGACCTTCAGAGACATGGTTAAGTCGGGAATTGTGGAATAGTGATATGATTCTAACTACTCATGGTAGATCCTATGTAATCATTGTGGTCTTTGTAAAAAACAAGTGAGGGTGGTTAGTCAGAGCCAGAGAAGATTTAATAGGCAGCAGAAAGGTCACGATTGGTGAGTTATGAGCCAAAAAATGCAAGTACCTGGGGAATCAGAATGGAGGAAAAGAGATGAATTACCCCCAAGAGCTCTCAGAGGAATGAAACTTTGCCTAGACCTCAGTTTTATCTTCATGTGACCTGCTTTGAACTTCTGACCACCAGAGCAATTCAGTAATGAACTCACATTGCTCTAAACATTTAAATTTGAGGTAATTTGTTTCAGGAACAAATACATACTAATACATGTTAGTATCCTATGTGGTGATTTACTGTCCCGGGCTTTGCAAGTACTAGATGCTCAGTAATAACAGAAAGATGACCAAATTTATTCACAAGAACAAAACTGAGTCAACTACCTGTCAGCTCTCAGATGTACCAATAAAAAAGGCTTGATTCAGAGAAGCATCATGGGAACAACATTCCTGCTGTCATACTCAGTGGTTTTAACCTGATGGCCAAGGTGAAGACCACCCGTGTGAACATGTATGGCAGGCACACAAGAAAAGGTAGCTTGCAAAGATTGCCATGGATAGCTATCTCTCTCTCTCTCTCTCTATCTATCTATCCATCCATCTATCTATTATCTATCTATCTTTCTATCTCTCTATCATCATCATCTATCTATGTATCATCTATATATATGTGTGTGTATAAATATATATAATCATTCAATGAATTTTTATCAGAAAATAAATCATAACTGTTAATTACAAAAACTATTTGTTTGCAGCAAAGAGCTTGAAGAAATGAAATCATCCAAATGACCATACATACAAGGATTTGATCAGGGCGATGATAACAATTCACAGGTTTAAAATTGAATAAGTGTGATAGATTGGGAGGCCTGGGTGTTGTATCCAGGGTCAATTATTTCGGAGATTTGAGAGTCACTAGCCATGGCTATCTCCAAGACAGATTCTGAAAGTTTCTTTCAGAGAAACAAAGAGGGTGGTATTTGACATGAAATGAACCCAGGGAAGAAGACAGACTAGGATAGTAACTATCCTTCCAAAAGCAGCAAATATGGGCTCCATTCAAGGACTATGAAAGATGTGAACACAGAGACTAGGGTCCTGTGTTCAGGCTTATTAAGCAATAAGGAATATAGCAAGGGTGCAGAAGAGAAAGAAAAAAAAAACTCAATGAAAAGCTCTCTCTGTATGTGTGAGGAGTGTGATTAGACAGTGAAGAACCTCACTAGTACGAAGATACTAGGGACTGAGATCCCGAGAAACAGAAAAGAAGCAAAATAGTAAATAGTAAGAAATTGGTTTTGTTGTTGTTTGTGACATACTCATGCTATAGAAACCATGACTACATGGTCTGGGACTCATGACTCCCCTGCATCTGAAGAGCTGAAACTACAGGCTTGTGCTACGATGACAGGCTTTTAGAAATTGCTTTAAAAGCAATTGTAAAGGAGGTGTGGATTTAAAGACATGTGAAAATTTGTTGGATGTGGAGAAAACTGTAATAATTTCGCAAATATCCTTTGAAACCTTCCGAGCGTCCACATTGCAATAAACACTGTTCAAAAGGAGAGATAAACGATGGTGACATTTCAGTCAAGATAGAATATTTAGATCACAATGTCTTCCACAGCAACAGAACATAATATGTGAAACTCAATGAAAGACAATTTGGGAGGCAGACAAGTAAATTTGTCTCTCATGTATATGCATGCTGCAGTTGAGCAAAGGAAAGTGGAGAGTACTGACTCTAAGTGTTGAAAGAAGAGTGAAGGGAATTAGAACCCAAGGTGTCTTTCTACAGACCTTCAGAATGGCTTCAGTAGAGAGTTTTCAGGGCATAGAATTTGGAACCGGGAGAAAGCAGCTTTGCTGACCACATTTCCAGTTGCTTAGGGAACCGCTAATACTGGATTAAAATAGCGAAGATTAATACCCTTTATAAACTACTGCTACCGTAACCTTTGTCTTCTATTCTATTCTCAGTCTTTCCGTCTCAAGCTCCTCATATCTTTGCTCTTCCACCAACCTCTGAGCCACAAGGCTTTGAAGGTTCCAGACACTTTTCTATCTCTGCC